AATTAAATTTCCTTTTCAGTTAAAAAGAAAAAAATATTTGATTCTTTCTTCTCTACCTTAGCAATGCCCTTTAAGGCCACCAAATTCATATAAAGACTTGGCAAAAAAAAAAAAAAAAATGATCAGCTCTACCAGGAAACACAGATAAGTATCTATGTTTCTAAATAAAAGTAACTATGCCAATGCAATCCTACCAAGCTTCAAAAGTATTGAATGGCCTAACAACAAACAAACAAAAAACTATGAAAGAGTCTACCTATGTAAAAAATAAACCATTCTACTTAGAAAACAAGACAAGAATTTACTTAAAGGACCCATAAAAATGGTTTAGAACTTTTTTTATTCTTTTTTTTTTTTTGAGACAGAGTTTTGCTCTTGTTACCCAGGCTGGAGTGCAGTGACTCAATCATGGCTCACCGCAACCTGGAACTCCTGGACCCAGGCAATCCTCCTGCCCTAGCCTCCAGAGTAGCTGAGACTATAGGCACGCATTACCATGCCCGGTTAGAACTATTTTTTAAAAAGAGTAACAAATGGATCCTTGAGAAATTAAGGCAAGCTTGGAAACACAAAAGATTTCGAAAAAGTTTTCACTCCTCTTCACTGCTGCGTGGTACCCATCTAGCATTTCAACTATTTTTTGTTGCTGTCGTTTTGAGACAAGTCTCACTCTGTTACCCAGGCTGGAATGCAGTGGCATGATCTCAGCTCACTGCAACTTCCGCCCCCAGGGTTCTAACAATTCTCCTACTTCAGCCTCCCTCATAGCTGGGATTACAGGTGCCTGCCACCACGCCCAGCTAATTTTTTGTATTTGTAGTAGAGACAGGGTTTCACCATGTTGACCAGGCTGGTCTCAAACTCTTGACCTCAGGAGATTCACCTGCCTTAGCCTCTCAAAGTGTTGAGATCACAGGCGTGAGCCACTGAGCCCAGTCGCATTTCAACTTTTATAGACAGGTGAGGGTCAAGGATCTGAGGGAATGTTATTTCTGTGGCTCTGATAGCCAAGTCACCATAAACACAGAAGGGTGTCTATGTGAAGCTGAAGCAAGCCCCCAGTAGGAACTGAAATAGATAGAACTCACCTCATGTGAAAGGGAAGGAAAGTGGGAGATGACCACTAAGGCCCTCCAAAATGAAAGCAGTCATATTCTAAATGAATTCCTCTATTTCCTATATGATATCTACCAAAACGATGTTTTGTTTTGTTTTTTTTTTTT